GAAGTGATAACTTCTCAACTATGCGAACGGAGAAGAGTTCCCCTAACCAGAGAGTTCGAGGATGATGCAGTACAGATAAAATTAGTGGATGAATATAATTCAAAAATGACTGATGAATTTATTACATATGGAAAAAGGCCACGAGAAAATGTCATACCTGTAAACGTAAGTAATCGTGGCGGATTGTTACATACAATAACGTTAACTGAGTGATCGCGGATCATGCTGCGACCAAATATATCAACTTCTGATGGTTTGATAAATGGCGCAATGGGAATAGTGAAGAAATTTACATGGCCGGCACTTCGAAGAGATCAACTAGAACAGGGAGAGTTGCCGGACTCGGTACTTATAAAATTTGACGACGAGTCCATTGGAAATAGATTTAAAAATATCGACGGTTACATTCCAATATCTCCAGTTGTAGCAACGTTTCAGGCGACGAAAGGTTATGGAGACGTCGAGCGCAGAATGTGACCACTTATTCTAAGTTGGGCAGTAACGGTGCACAAATTACAAGGGACTACATTAAACAACGTTGCAATTGATCTTGGCAAATAGAATTTTACAAAAGGCCTTTACATCGCTCTTAATCGTGTCAAAAGTTTAGATGGTTTAGCTTTATCTGATTTAGCAGCAAACAAAGTCCTCGTTAAACCGCATGACGAAAGAGCAGTCGCAGAAATGCAAAAATTACGACGGTTGCTTTTACAAAGAAACGGTCCAAATCAGCTTCCAGCAACCGATACCTGAAGAAGGAAGCCAACCCTTCTTTTAGCGACCAACTGGTAGAGAAAATGACGAAGTCTATTTTTTTTTTTATTTCACGGATAATGTTGAGAAGTCACAATCGGTATATTCCCTGTAGAGTAAATGCCGAAAAAATATAAATGAAGCAGTATGTTTTTTTGCAATAAAAATCGTTAAGAATGAAAAAATGCAAAATGTATTTTTTATGGGACCAGTGGGGAGTTATACTCTACAAGACGCAAAAGGTTTCGTTCCGATTGGTCCATTCGTCTCGGAATAATCCGTGAACGTAGGCCGAAAGTATATCAAGTAGTACGTTTTTTGCAATAAAAATCGGCAGGACTGAAAAAATGCAAAATGTTTTTTCAACGGGACCAATCGGGAGACATACTCTACAAGATGCAAAATATTTCATTCCAATTGGTCCATCCGTGTCGGAGTAATCGGCGAACGTACATTTAGAAAAAAAAGTCGTTAGGAATAAAAAAAATGCAAAATATCTTTTTTACGGGACCAGTGGGGAGTTATACTCTACAAGATGCAAAAGGTTTCGTTCTGATTGGTCGATCCGTCTCGGCGTAATTGGTGAACATACATGAAAAAAATAAAAAAAATATACACATGGAATTGAGTATCCTCCTCCTTTTCGAAGTCGGATAAACATCGAATTGAGTATCCTTCTTCTTTTCGAAGTCGGATAATAAGCAGCTGCCGTCAAACTCGCATCGCAAAATACATGAAGCTGTGCTTCTGAATCTTTGGTTTCGGGCGGTGCATAGCATCTCGATATTTGGCATTCTTTCACTTCATTAAGCGTTGAAATCAACTTTAGTTCCGACGAGTTCCTCTGAGTACCCTCTCTCGAAAAGACTGAGTACCCTCTCTCCCCTCGATCGCACAACCGCATATCACCACTATTTACCAATTGTCCTTGGCCAATGGCTTTTTGCATAACTTCAATTTTATTACTCGCCCAACCGTGCATTTCGAAATTCGCTCTCGCGTTTACCTCAATTACGTCGCGAACAAGATCGACTGCCTCCCGCATGGTTTTCTGACTCAATAAAAAGTCGTCCATGTAACTATTATTTATTATATTTTTGGACGCCTCCGGGTGAGCTTCGTAACATCTTTTCGTATTTTTGTTTTTAATATAAATAGCGCTATACGGGGATGATTTCGCACAAAAAATCCGGTTCTCTATCTCTATCTTTCCCTCGCCATAAGAATCTCTGTGCGCCGCGATCATTCTCTCGAATTTGCACGCGCAAGAAGATGTCCGAGATATCTGCCTTTACTGCGATAGCGTACCGCCTGAAACGAAGAATACATGGTAACGATTGTAACAAGTCCTGCCCTGGAACGAGCTGGTCATTTAGACTTATTCCCGGTGTCTTGGCTGCTGCATCGAAAACTAATCGTACTTTGTTCGGTTTGTTTATATTCCGTACACCGAAGTGCGGTAAATACCATATTCTCGACCGCTCCGTCCTGTCCCCAACTTTCGATGCATAGCCTTTGTCTAAGAAGCGCTGCATTTCTTTGTAGTATAATCGCGCATATTCTGGATCACAATCTAACCTATGTTCCAACAACTTCAACCTCTTTTGCGCCATAGACAAACCGTTTGCGTTTGGAGCGTGATCTTCCTTCCACAGGAGACCGATCTCCCATGCTTTGCCGTTATACAAACTCGTGTCGTGTAATATCTTTAACGCGCGGACATGCTCGTTCTTACGTCCGACGTTGCTACCCGTTCCTAAATATTCTAATTCGAAATAGCTCTTAATTAATTCGCCTAAGGATGCCTTTTCTGTATTCCCGTCAGAATATCGCAGTTCGTTCGTGCTTACATTGAATACTTCGTGCGAGTGATTTGAGCACTTGTTCGCGGACCCGTGTACACCCCGACCCAAAAGCGAGCGCGAAGTGGCCAAATCCGTTTTCTCCACTTCCCGCCATTCTCGCGTTACTATCAAGTTTCAATTGTCTTGGCCTATTAATATTTTCACCCTCGCTTCGTGGTAAGGCGATATTTTCACGTCTCTCATAAATTTGTTTACATGAAAGCAATGTCTCGGCTGATCGTTTGAGAAGGAAGCCTTAGATTTCTAACGGTTATCGCGCCGCAAATTGTATATTTTCCAAATGCGCCTATTACGTCGAGATATGCTTTCCTACAGTTCGTCATTCGTACTTCTCTTGCATTTATTTCCTTTAATGATAAATCTATCTGTGTCCCTCTTACGTCTACGTCTCGCGCTAATTCCTTATCGATTAGAGTAACCGAGGAGCCCTCATCTAATAACACAAACGTATCCATCGCCCGTTCCGGACCGCAAACGCGGGTTTCTCATGTGACCGGGTTTTAGACAACCATAACACAAGCTATGTTTTTTTACTAATTCCTAACGCTTATGCAATGGTTCTCGAGCGAAGAACAGGCATTTCGGCGATGTATGATTATCCTTTTTACAAAATACGCAATTACGCACCGCGCTCGCCGTTAATTCTTCCTCTTGGCCACGTTCTTTATTATGATCCGTCACGCATACGACCGCGGTTCGTGGGGATTGTCGCCTCAGCCTATTCAACGCATCTGATCTCCGCGTCGACAGATCGGTTGTTATGTGGATATCGAATATTCCCGCCTCGGCGGCTAATACGGCTTCGGAGTATATAAAATCGGCGAGTTTTTCTAATTCTGATTTTTCGTTCGCGACGTTCACGGCATATCTATTATAGGCGTATCGTAATGCTACCGGTATTTTGCTTCCCACGGATTTCACTAACTCCGGACTATGTAAATAACCCATTAACTTGAAGGTTTAAAGACTATCATGGCGCTCCTCAGTTTTGTCGCGAATTGTACCAGACTGATTCTACCTGATTCTATCTCTGGCAATGCCTTCAAATCCGCAAATATCTTTTCGGCTACAGTTTTCTTATTGCCGAAATGCAACTCGAGTGTCCGTATAATCGTGTCCGCGTCTCGACTGCTAGCGAGCAGCGTTTTCACGACATTGCGCGCCTCCCCTTTTAGGGCGTCAAATAGTCGCGCTATGTTTTCGCGATCAGAGTAACCGCCTAATTCGGACGTTAATAAATATGCTTCTTTAAAATGGAGCCATTCTAGCGGGTCCTCGGAGAAAGCCGGTAGGTTTTTTGCCGTCGTTAAACGGTTCACCAAATGTGAACTTCCCGCTCCGCCGAACGACGCATCGCGTATAGCACTTAACGTTCTCTCAATTGCCGCAGATAATCGATCGGCCGAATCAATACAATGTTCAGCACTTAGATTTGGTGAACGCCTTATTGATAACGCAGTACTGTTAATCCATCGGTGTGCTGCATTGCCGTAGTCGGTCGCCAGGAGGTCTTCTGCTTCGCTGGTGAAGTCTGCGCTGTCGCCTGCTGCGTGCGGTGCCGAAGTCCCTGCTGCCTGCTGCTGTCGCTGGCTGGTACCGTTGTCGCTGCCTCCCCACGGCCCCGGCCGTCGCCGGTTCCGAGTAGCACCCGTTATCAGGCGCCTCCGCCGGGCGTTGGGCATAGGAGGAGATGCCCCAGAAGGCCCTACAGGAACGGCATCGGCTGTCGCAGTCATCGTAATCGCCCTTGTTGTCCGCGCCCGCTCGGCCGCTGGTTACGGCGTCGCCGGTTGTGCCGCAGGTCGTCTTCCTCGAACCATTATTTCGAAACACCCTTAACACTTTGCGAATCCTCGTAGCACAGCCATATATCAAACCCCGCGTAGGTGTTTCTGGACCCACAGTCACCCTTGCCTGGGGGATATCGCCGGTTCTGTGCAAACACGCACCTTAAGACTCCCACGTGCACCGCAGCTGCTGGGTCTTTGACGGGCTTACATGGGACGTGTCCAGCGAGCTGATTTGCTGAACCGTTCAGCCTATTGCCATTAATTAAACCCCAAACGTTTACTAATTGGTCACTTTGGTGTACGCCTCCCTCGCTGGACTATCTCTCTGCGGCTTCTAGAAAACTGCCTTGGGGACTTAGAGGGGACTGAATTCGTCAATCTCAGACAGAACTTGCTTACGAACAGTCAGCCTTCACGATTCTATCGATACGCTTCGACATAGCTTCTTAATATCTGTTTTGAGATAACTCTGAAATACTATCTGACATACACATATAGACGTTTGTACAACACATCTACGAATTAAACATATCTATAACTCAGTGTTCAATCAATTTATTCTCCTTACAACGGTAAAAGGTTGTAGGGAAGTATGACACTTCGTGGTGATGGTAATTCGCGTTACAAAAGACGATCGGCCATTTCACCGCGAATTCGTGCTGGAAAACATTATGCATAAAGTAAATAATAAGTGGAAACGATAAAATAAAAAAGTTCTTCGCAAGATCATAGACACCAACAAAACTGAAAATGAAATAAAGGTTGACGATGGAGCAGGAACCAGTTCTAATCTGGAATCACAAGAGATAATTATGGATGAAAGTGATGTTGATTTCGGATCAGATGATACAATAATCGATGATGATTGTTTGCCGAATACGACAAACCGTGAATACATTTCAGATGAAGTTAATATTAATGAAAATAATACTGATGAAGTGCTTCGAAATCTTGCTCTACAAGAAGATGAATTAAATAAAAGCGGCAATGAGCAAATAGATGATGATGAATTTATGAATGACTGGACTGAATATATGGGCAGACATAAAACGTTTCTATTCATTGGGAAACATGGTTCACAAAAAATGATATCACCTAATTCTACTCCGTTAGAAATCTTTCGACTTATTGTAGATGAAGAAGTGATAAATTACATTGTCACCAAAACCAATAGATTTCCCAAGCAAACTATAAATGCAAAACTAATAACTTACCATGCAAGGATCACTAAATGGATTCCAACAGATGCAGGAGAAATGGAAAAATTTTTTGGTTTAATGATGTGGATGGGGCTGGTAAGGCTTCCTACTCTTCCAGACTATTGGTCAAATCAAGGGATTTACCAACAGCAAGTTCCACGTACTATTATGTCTCGAAATCGATTCCAAATTTTACTAAAAATGTTTCAACGATAATGAAAAAAATAATCAAACAGGCGATCGCCTTAGAAAAATTCAGTCGTTAATTGATATATTGGAAAGAAAATTTAAGGAATTATTTTATCCGGGTGAAGATATTGTCATTGATGAAACCTTAGTGCCATGGAGACGAAGGCTTATCTTCAAGCAGTATAAACCAAACAAAGCTCACCGTTATGGTATAAAGTTATGCAAATTATCCTTAGTTGATAGTTACACATGGACCTTAAAAATTTTTCCTGAGCAATCCTCATCTTCCAAACGTCACATAGGATTAGCCAAACAGCTTTGCCTCAAACTCACTGGAAGTCTTCTCAATAAAGGTAAAAGCCTTTATGTCGATAACTTTTGTACGAGTTATGATTTAGCAAAAAGCTTATTGGAGCAAAAAACTCATGTTACTGGCACTCTAAGGGCTAATAAAAAAGATATTTCCAAGGAAATTCTTCTTGCTAAACTGAAACGAGAAGAAATCATTTCTCGTGAGGATTCAAACGAAATTGTTGTTCTAAACTGGGAAGATATCCATGATGTTTGGTTCCTCTCGACAAAGCACACACCACATCTTGTTCCAATAAACAACTTGGAAATGGAAGCACGACCATGCAATAGTAATGCGCATACTGACACAACACAGTATTTTCCATTATCTTAGAAAAGACGAAAATCTCGAAGAGCTACAACAAAACCAATAGCAATACTGGCTTATAATAAAGCGAAAGCTGGCACTGATCTGTCCGATCAAATGGCTTCATATTGCACAACCCTCCGCAAGGGTGTGAAATGGTACAGAAAACTTGCTATCGAACTAATATTAGGTTCAGCAGTAGTAAATGCATGGATAATTTACAAGCATTTAACGAAGAAAATAAAAAAACATAATAGTCATGGGGACTGTCGACAAAAGTGAAAACTTAAAACTATGAAATAACAGTGGTTTTTTTTGAATTTTCAAATTAATTGTAGTATCAAAAATTGAAATTTCATAATTTGTAAATTAAAATTATTAACATTAGTCTGGTTTTCACATCTCTCGGCACTCCGAGCAACAATTATATATATTTTTATATGGTTTATTTATTAGTCAAAACATATTGTTACGTCGCGAACGAGCGATGCGGCGCGCGCGCGACGCATAAAATTAATTTTAAAAAAAACGAACGAAAACGTGAGTGTGAACGTTTTTAGTTAATTGGTATTAATACGTGATTGAAACGGTATTAACGCTGCCACCAGTCCTAACTGTATTTGACGATATTGGGTCAACCATGATTAGAACAATTTAAAAAGAATCAAATTAAATCAAGTTAAATCGAATTAAGATTCCGGATTGTTTGAGTTCGTCAATGCTCTGGTCCCATACAGGCCTCTCGTGTGAATTCGTGCAAGAAATTAGGCGTGTTAATAAAGGAAAATGAAAAGGGTGTTTTAACGCAAATTACTAGAAATCAAATATGGGTAACATGTGTATAATTTCGGAAAAATAATTACAACAAAATGGTTTGATTAACAAAATGTTCGAGCTGTATGAAATATATGGAAAAAGAAATTAGTATATGTTAGAACGGTTATTAAATTAGAAAAGATATATGAAATTTAAATGTAATGAACTTTAACGAGAAATTGACAGGAAAATAATAGAATTATTTGCAATAATGATGATTCGAACTTCGGTGTTTTACAATGATTCGAGAGCGAAAGAAAAACGAAGAGACGGTCCCAGTTGGATACTTCCAAGACAAACTGTCTCGTGGGCCGTCTTCGTTTGCGCGTATTTGGGAATTTTAGTTAACTAAGAAATCTTTTAGATACCTTGAAAATGTGGAACGGAACGATCTAGTGGGATACTTCCACGACTAGCAGTCTCGTAGTTCGCCGTTTTGCCTCACTCGACACCAGATTCGCTGTGTTAAAGTATAGACTGTGCAATTCACCAATTCGTTGTAGTATATTTTATATATGATATTTGCAAATGTTGATCGCATACGAAACCTGTGGTGGTTGTGGTCTAGAAATCTGGAAGGCGAAGAAGAGATGAGAACTTTTGCACGCGTACTACGCGATCGCGTTTGAGCCTTGATTATTACGGAAACGAGATACAATTTGAAACTAATACGAAAACAACGCGACGCGGGAAAAAGAATATAATTAATTTGCGAACGATATAAAAACGAAAGAGAAAAGATAGGAATTGAAAAGTGTGAAATGAATTTAACGTATTCGTTTGAGTCCTTGTCACAAAACCGCGAACCGAAACACTCTCGACACTCTGCCTTGATGAGGACTTGCCGAGCAATCTAATTACACGATTTTATTAACAACTCTATCTCTACGCGAACACGGGCTTCCCGTCACGTACCTTACGATTTTTCGACGAAGAGTGATTTGCCTCAGTCTAGCGATCGTGTCTCAGGGTTCGACCCGCGATCAAGGGCCCAAAGTGGGGACATCATTTGGCAAATCAGAGTACGTGTCGAAGGGGAAAGCCCGCACGCATTGGTTTTGACCAGGCGCGTTTCCCGAGTTCTCATCCCTCCTTGACCTTCGTTCCGACTCTGTCTAACGTCGACTTTCTTTCTTTTACCCCTACAGCGCTACATGAATTCTATGCGTCGCAATTTCTATACTTTCTGGAATCTTCGCAATGGCTTCTATTTGAATTTATTCATTTTCCAGATTAATTAATGAAGCTTCTACAAACTGGTGTCGACAACCATTTTATTTAGTTTTTTGTTCGTTCGAAGTATTTCATAACGGATGTTCGTTATATTACAGTTTTCCACGCATATTACACGCATTTTCCAGGTTTCGTGACAAGGGATACGGTGTTTTACTTTTAATAAATTATGGGAGCATTTCATTCGCTTTTCTAACGAAGATTTACGCGTATTGAATATATATATTAATTGTTTCAGAATATTTCTTATAAACGCTTGGCAGTTTTTGTTGCCTATTCGCGACAACACGTGTTTATGATCCCTGTCGACCGTTGTCTCGAACGTTCTTGAACGTTGGTCGACGTCTTCAAAATCCCAGTGGTTGTCACGCAAACCTCGCTTTCTATTCCCATTCAAACCGCTTCATATCATTCAGATCGAATCGCGTTCATTCTTTATTGCACTCATTCTTCCGTGGAAGGACCGGCCGACGCATGATTTCAATCACAGCACTATTTTAGTGGCCTAAAAATGCTTCGATTCCGCGAATGCATTTTGTCCGCTAAAAGTATAAGTGTCATACTTATGCTGACATACATATTGTTGCGACGGTGAGAAGTTTCCGCTCTTTCTATGCATCGACTGCTTCTTGGGTTCTGGTCATCGGACTGCGTAGTTGTGGAATGCTCCGGACCACCAGACCATCGAGGAAAGATTTTGCTTGATGGCTGGGGAGCATCCCCCGGTAGAGTGGACCCGTCGGACTGGGGGTTTCTTCATCCGAGAAGACTTTGAGAGGAAGGGGTGAAGGCCCTGGGAATCAAGAGGAAGGACGAAGAACAGTCAGGACCTCCTCGAAGAAAGAAGAATGCTAAGAAGAATTAGAAACAAAGAAGTATGCTAAGAAGAATTAGAAAATTTGAGCGCATTCTAAGATGACCTGTGCACACTGAACCGGCGTCTTGCTCAGGGTTTTTGAGTGGTTTTCCCCTGGGACGAAGGACAAATGTCAAGACGTTAGCTGCCTGTTGGGGCCACTTAGGTAAATGTTACGTCTTTGGTTTTTACCTCCTTTCAGGCAGAGGTATTAGAGAAGAGGTTAGCAGCCATGAGAGACTGACAGCACGAGGTTAGAAACCATAGCTTGAATTGGCTCGATGAGCGGCTTTACATCAAGATGGTCATAAGAATGAAGATAGTGGCGGTCGGGACGACCGCTTATTGAAGGAGGGGAGCAATGTTGCGACGGTGAGAAGTTTCCGCTCTTTCTATGCATCGACTGCTTCTTGATGTATCGAAAGAGCCATCGACTGCCCCGTCCGAAGCTGTCAACGAATCATGATGTGAAGCTATTCCATGTTTCGAGCGGAAACACGTCATCGGATGCTTTAGTCAATGTATCGGGAACCCGACCTGTACGGATCTATTGCTTAAGAACTCCTTTGTAATCAAAATATAGACAGTCTAGTTTGCTTCGTCTCTATTTAATTTACGATGGAAAGTGTGAGCTCCACTCCCCGGCGCAACAATATCATTTCCATTTGATATGAAAGAATTGTTCTCTTCCCTTGCAAAGTAAGGAAAAGCAGCTGAAAGTAAAAATTAATAGGAGAGTGTGAAAAGACCCACCACCACCCCCGTCAAAGACAGTCCTCTTCACTCTCCACATCTGTACTTTTGTGCATTTGTATACTTACGCCTTTGAACGTTATTGGACAGCTCTTCATATGCGCTGTGTGCACTCGCAGGTGCAATTGCGATCTTCGATTGTAATCCTTTACTCCTAAATAAATAAATACAACATGATAATGATTATAAATGAATTCACGTACAGGTAATAAAAATAGAAGCATTGTACTTACCTTTTTATACACGTGTGTTCCCGTTTCCTCTCAGATTATAAATTGTTTTCCCTTCCGATAAAATAAACAAGTAGCTGAAAGTAAAAATTAATAGGAGAGTGTGAAGAGATCCACCACCACCCCCGTCAAAGATATTATTATACACCTCATCATGTATGGTGTGTGCACCGCCGAGTGTAGTCTCAATAGACTGTAGAACAGCTCATCGTATGAGCTGTGGGTACTCGACGGTGCAGTCGCAATAGACTATAGAACAGCTCATCATATGAGCTTTGTGCACCAGCAGGTGCATTGCGACCTTAGATTGCAATCGTTTATTGTATACCTCATCATATGAACTGTGTGCACTCGTCGGTGCAATTCTGATTTTTATGTACATCGTCACATGTACTTTCTTGTGTACTGCTACATGTATTGTTGCTCTGTTTTATGTATGCAGGCTCTCTAATAGGTTGCTGCCGATTAAATCTACTGTCTATAATTTTTGGCAACATGGAGTCTTCATAAAACCTTTTCAGTTTTTGCTCTATTTCTGTTGCCCAGAATCTGTCGTCTCTTTGTACTTTTGTAATTTTTATTCCTTTCTTTGTCCATAAACAGAATAGAGCACATTGTCTATTCGTTATGTGCAACTGTCCTTGCACTTGATAATAGTAGTGATGAATTTTATTCATTTCATCACCCCGGAAAATACGCCGTATTGCAGGAAGTTGCTTTATTGCTTCAGCAGGCGATAAATCCTTCGCCGATTCAGAGCATTTCACTTCGACGATAGTATCATAGTTCACGAGGCCGTCAGGAATTGCACCTAAATAAGGCACAATAGCATCGATGAATAGACCACACGGCAGAATATGGATTCCCAGTTCCGTTTCCAATTGTCTCAAGGCATTTGCCTCGTTTTCTCTTCCATATTCAAGGGAACGCAAATATTGAATTTGCGGATACATTATATTCTTTATGGCACTTGCTCTTGGTGTATTCTGTCTCAATCGGCATACCTTGCCGAAATGTGACGCAGTGAATAATTTTTTTCGATAGGCTGTCCATTTTTCGCTCTTGGCCTGATCGCGAGTTTCTGCTTCAATTTTATGTCGCATCGTTTGCCACTGAAGGAGTGTAAGCATGTGCTTCTCACACTCAGAAGAGAATACTGTTTCTTCCATGTCTGGTTTTTCTGCCGTGGGGCCGTAATCTTTGTCGCACGATTGCTTTTCGTATCGAGATGCTTTGGCTTTTTCCTTATATTTCGCTGCCATTTGCGATGCATGCTTACGTCGTTGTTCCATATTTTGTACGATGGCTGTCGGTTCCTTATTCATAGCAATACTTAATCGGCTGAACGACTCTCTTGAATTGTAATGAAGAACAGCAGCAGAGACTCTACCTTGATACGAGCCCTTGCGTCCAAAGTTTATTCTTTTGCCACCGATGAATTTCGCAATTATGTTATTGAAACTTTCCACTGCATTATTATTTAATCCATACAACAAGCTTTCAGCTTGAGGAAAGAGCGGTTGCATCGCTTCTTCAATGCTTTGTACAATGCAATGTACAATCACGAAGGTCGATGCAATTGGTCAACCTATCCTCTCAGACTTCCTTAAAAGTCAAATCGAATCTGTAGAAAATTTCGATGAAAAGTTGGTTTTTCATATAGAAAGCAGCAATAAAACTCGTGAAAAAATAGATTTACTGAAAGAAAATACCCGACTGAGTCACTTGACCGAAGGCAGGGAGCAAATATGGGAAATTATCTCAAACTTTCATGATATTTTTATGGTACCTGGTGACCCACTCCCTAAGTCTTCCATCCTTGAACACGAAATCAAAACTACCGACGAAATCCCAATACACACCAAACAATACAGATATCCTCCGATACACCAGGACGAAATTAAGCGACAAGTAACAAACATGTTACAAAACGGAATTATTAGAGACAGTGACAGCCCATACAACAGTCCACTATGGATTGTTCCTAAAAAGATAGACGCATCTGGTAAACAAAAATGGCGACTAGTAATAGACTATAGAAAACTAAACGAAAAAACTATAAAAGATTCTTACTCAATTCCTAATATTGATGAAATATTAGATAAGCTTGGCAATGCGAAATACTATTCCGCCTTCGACCTAGCATCGGGATTCCACCAAATCGGGGTTAAGGAAAGTGACACTCACAAAACCGCCTTTTCAACAAACAACGGACATTTCGAATTCGTTAGAATGCCTTTCGGCTTAAAAAATGCCCCGCCAACGTTTCAAAGATTGATGAATCGCGGCTTACACGGACTAATCGGTAATAACTGTTTTGTCTACATCGACGATATTATAGTTTTCGGTAGGACATTAGAAGAGCACAACAAGAATTTAAAGATCCTATTTGAACGATTAAGGCAATGATAAGGCATCCTATTTGAACGATTGCGGTTTAAGACTCCAACCCGACAAGTGCGAGTATCTAAAACCGGAATTAGAATATCTAGGTCACGTTATCTCGGCTAATGGTGTACAACCCAATCCTAAACGCATCGGTAAGGTAAAAAACTATCCCGTTCCCAAGACCGCAAAAGAAATTAAACAATTTTTAGGATTATGCGGATATTACAGAAAATTCGTAAAAGATTTTGCCAAAATCGCGAAACCCCTTAACCAATTGCTAACGAAGGATACAGAATTCCAGTGGACTAACGAGCAACAAATAGCTTTCGAAACCGTGTGTAACGCGTTAACTCAACCCGTTCTTCAGTACCCAAACTGGGACGAACCCTTCGTATTGACCACGGACGCTAGTAATTATGCTTTAGGCGCGGTATTATCGCAAGGGCCAATAGGGAAGGATAAACCTTCCGCGTACGCTTCACGAACGCTAAACAACGCGGAAACTCGGTATTCGACGACAGAAAAGGAACTTCTAGCAATCGTTTGGGCAACCAAACACTTTCACCAATACTTATACAGACGGAAATTCACAATCGTGACGGATCATAAACCACTTGTTTGGCTAATGAACATAAAAGACCCGAATTCACGTCTAATGCGGTGACGACTGAAACTGCTAGAATACGATTACGATATTGTCTATAAACAAGGGAAACTAAATACCAACGCAGACACGCTTTCGCGGGGTACGGTTAGGATTATAGAACACGACCCGTTAAACGACCTCGAAAAATACATCACATATTATTCAAACAACCCTGAAATATCTTCACAAGACGAAGAATTCATTAAGAACTTAGTAGGACACCCAAACTCGTCCGAAAGATCTGGAGTCCCTCTGATAAAATCACAGGTAAAGATTTGTCAGGGCCACTCAAAAGAATCTCCGACAATCGTGTATACAGAAATATCACCGGAGATAACAGAAAAGGACAATACGTATTTATCACCGCACGAGACTGACAAATACAAACTAGAAACTATGATGAAAATTCTAAAAGACGGCACAAAAATTAATATAATACAGGACCAAAATCACAGTTCCGAACTCGCCTCTCTCCTCTCAAGCCTAAATCGTGACATAGAAATCTACGTTTCTAAACCGATTCCTTCAGATAAAGAAGAAATTATTAGGCTAGCACATAACTCCCTTTTCGGCGGACATTACGCTTACGATAAGACATTACAAAAAATTCGTAAGCAACACGAATAGCCTAACATTACGAGAGACGTGAAAAACTACATAGAAAATTGCAAAATCTGCCAAAGGCATAAAGACACCAAATGACAGACATATATACCGCAAATGACTGACATCCCAGCTAAACGATCGGACAAGATTTCCATAGACATTGTGGAACCATTAGACGAAACCCCTCGGGGAAACAAATATATACTAGTAATACAGGACTACTTAACCCGATATATCGTGTGCGAACCATTAATAGATAAATCTACTGCAGCCATTATACAAGCCATCTGGGCTTCATGGCTGCGAATTTTCGGCAAACCCAAAGAGATACTGACGGATAATGCTAAAGAATTCGCATCCCAGGAATTTACCGAGTTTTGCGACGCCATGAAATCGCGACACGTTTTTACCTGAGTATACCATCCACTATCTAATGGAAAAAACGAAAGGTCTCATATCATACTAAAAGGATACATTCGATGTTACCAAACCGCGGAAAACCCCTGGGATCTTATTCTTCCTAAAGCTAGGCTCAGTTATAATTGCACAATTAACCGGACTACGGGATACATCCCATTCGAGTTACAAGTAGGTTATGAACCCAATAGTATCTTTGACGAACAAGACGAACACTTGACTCTCAGACAGCAAGTAGAGGACATAAAACTTCAACATGAAAACAAAATTATTGAAACCCTCGAAAACCTTAAACTACAATAACCTTCCACATCCTATGAACACCTCGAACCGATTTCCAAGGGTAACCTAGTCCTAATTCGAAATTACAACACCAAACCTTTGGGAGAACGGTGGCGAGGACCATTTGAAGTATTAGAAATAACGGGCGGTCATTCGGTCAAAATAAACGAATATGGAAAACCAACTATCCATCACAGAACAAACGTCAAACTCTTCAAACAAGCTTCGTTGACTATTACAGATAATGAAACTTAACCGGAGCTTCGTGTCTGCTCCAACTTTAATGACAATCATGGCTACGATATGGATCACGAGTAAAATCGCAACGGCCCAAAGCGGAAACGAAAAATATTCAATCGCCGCACTTAGCAATCAGGAAACTATATTTTTAGAACACTTAAATCGGGTTAGACTATATCACGAACAGTGGAAAATAGTCGTTGGATACGATTTTGCGCACATCGAGGACGATCTAAAGATTATCGAAAACCTCTATCAAACTGTGCTAAGCGGGCTATGCATTCGAGAAATAACAGGGACCTACATGCTCTTCGCGCAATAGATTAATTAAACGAATAGGAGACTTCAGCCACATTCGGGGAAAGCTCCGCAACGCTCTGTACACTGCGGGAATAGATAGCAGCTCCTCGCGTGCTCGGCGTGGAATTTTCGATTTCGTGGGCGAAGTAAGCAAAGCTCTGTTCGGTACACTCGATGCGACGGATGCCCAATATTACAACGACGAAATCGATAAACTCTATACGGATCAAAAAACGATCGTACATTATATACAAAACCAAACTAGTGTAATCCTCAACGCCATGAAGGCAAATACCGTCCTGTTCAATAAAACACACACTCAGGTAGAAGCTATAAACGCGCAGTTCAATAGACTTCGGGACCTCTCGAAGGAAAACGAGATGAACATTCAAATCGACGAAGTAATTTTAGACTTAGAAACTAGCATTAGTGAAATACGCGAACAAGTTAGAAATATAGAAGATTTAACGTTTGACGCCAAACATGGTATTATAAAGCCTTATATATTGACACCCGAGCAACTTTTTAAAATACTCAGAGAACATGAGCACGTCGACAACTTCCCCGTGCCTCCTAAAGAAACATTTTACATGGCCCTTATCGACATATGTAAAGTAAACATAGGGCTCAACGGGAAACGCGCACTTCTAGAAATAAAGGTTCCGTTACTAGAAGAACAAATTCTTAATCTAGTAAAGATAATATCCCTTTGTAAGGTATGCGAGGCCGCGAAACCGCGGGCCCCTGCCAGCGCGCGCTAGTACCGGCGCCGCCGACAGGTGGCGACCGCGCGCACCGCGAACTCGCGAGGCAGCCGGTCTCGCGAGCATTAATATACCGGGCCGCGAGGCGATAGACGCCAGATCGATCCGTCGAAGCGAGTCTCACGACAAGCCACGATACGATACGATCAACGTCATTTTTGATAACCCAAGCTCTCCTCCAGCAGCGTTCGGTAGGACGGGTTGTGTCTACGGCCGTCCTTCGATACAGTCCGCTGTCTCCTTGGCCACGGCCGAGAGAGTTCCCTCTCTCGGCGGCTTCCCGACCGCCGGACCGGGCGTTACGTCTCTACGGCGTCCACCGGAGCACGGTCTTCTTACTGCCTGGGTGCAGGACGGGTTGTGTCTACGGCCGTCCACCCATGAAGGCATCAACCGACCGATCCCATACATCCCGCTACCTCCGCTACTGAATATAAACGAGCCGATCGACACCGCGACCGGACCGCGCCGTGACCGAACCGCACGGTGCCCGACCGACACCGCGACCGGGCTATCCCGCGACTGTTAGAAGTAAGCCGTTAGTATTAAGGGCACAGACTCCTTGTGCCATGACCTGTATGCGTGCACTCACACAATCAACGGAAAGCATGCACGTATACGCCATGCGCGAGAGAGACACTCGATTTCGTAGATTCCATTTTTCGTCTCGATAATTGCATAAATGAAATTTTCGCGGGTACAGCACACACGGGTAGACTTCGCTACAGGTCGGTCTGGTCCGCTTGAACGCTAATAAACATCATACGTTGAGAAAAATGGAATTTTGGAAACTGTACGATTGAGACAGACGCTGTTGTAAGCAAACAACATGGCTGCCGAATGCTGCGTTCGGCTACATTTTAGCGAATATTGGACGATTTAA